AAAGTGGTTTGGGGGGGGGGGGGAATAGGGGGTTATTTCTCTCTTTTTGCCTTTGGGGACAGTCACTGGCTCTAAAATCAAAGGAGAACAGAAAGGTATTAAAAAAATAAGGATAACCATGGACAATGGCATAAGCCAGAAGCCATTCTATACTTCTTTTGTAGTTCTTTGTATTTACAAAAAGGCATGCTGATAAAATAAAAGGATATATTACACTATTTATAATAGTATCTTTAAAAAGTTCAACCACACTTCTCAGCTATTTGCCTCGTTTTGTGCTGTTTTACAATGTAGCCTGTACATGTGTATGGAGGTTGTTGGGTTCTCCTGTGTTATATTATACATCACATCCTAGGAGCGAGTGGGGCAAGAGCTGATGGGATAGAAAAGGTTCCTTACTGTGGTGCTGGGAGCAGCAGGACTGCTCCATTGCCATGGAGGATGCCGGGGGCACCGGTGGCTTCCTGCTGGACTTTGGGATTTCAAGTGACTCCTCAGATTCTCTGGGTTGTGAGATGATGCAAACCAAGGTTCATCCTGCCATCGAGTCCTGGGGGCTTGGGGCTTTGTTTCCTGCTATTCTGGGTACCCTTCCTTTGGTCCGTGCTCAACCTCAGCATCCCTGATGGAGGTGAGCAGCACCAACCCCTCATGCTGCTGCCCTGCCCTGTGGGAACACCCAATGCTGGCCCTGAAGAAACACACCTCAACCAGAGCAGTGGCTGAGGATTGATGAGGACACCACAAAACAGGAGCTGGGGGAGGTCTGAGTCTGGTCATGGAGGAAAAGCAATGCTTGGATTTGGCTCGTGATGTTCCTGTGGCACCAGTTACTGCTGCAGCGAGACATAGGCAAGAGGTAGCTCCGATTCCTGCCCATCCCATGGTGGGCGCTGCTCCATGAAAGCACTAAATGGGAAGGAGGTGAAGGCACCCAAGAGCTGGGTCTCAGCCCTGGGATGTGGCCCTTCCTGTGCCATTCCCTGCTTCCAAGGGAGAGGAAGGGCTCAGGGTTTCCAAAAGCCACCTCTCTGCAACCCACCCGGAGCAGGAATCCTGATGGCGATGGGACAACGAACGGCTGCGAGTCACATCCCTGTCCCCCAGCCCCACAAGTGGCATTGCTGTGGGGAAGCTCCCCATGTTTCTACCGGTAGAGATAACACAGGACTGACTTTAGCACTTATCTCTACCAGAACAAAGTGTCTACACTGCAGGATGGAGGCTGAGGAAGAGTATTACTGCTAAATACAGGATACAAATGAACTTACTGCCTGGGATTGAAGCCCTAGAGCTTGGGTTTAGTGACACAGTAGAAGAAGCCATTCTCAGGTTGTATCATCTCCCCTTGGATGAGGTCCAGAGCAGCATTTAGTTTGGTTATTCTATTTTAATGTGCAAAAAGATGGCAAAAAAACCCAAATAAAAAGACATGTATTAAACATACACACACAATTATTTCATCTCCTTGTTGTACTTTTGCTTTTTCTCCTACTGGTGGCTCTAGGAAAGGGCGCTAAGAACTGGGATGTACTGTGAAGGGCATGGTTCCTGTTAGATCCCAAACCCAGTGTTACCTTGTCAGTGGAGTGCCTCGACTTTATGGCTTAACACACTGCTGTGGACAGGTTATTGTGTCTCGTGGTTTCATGGTTCCTCATGCATGGTCCCTGGTCACGGCATGCCATCATGCATTGAACGAGCACTTTTGGGGGGGGAATCAACCTGAGCTGGCCCCAGGCTGAAGGTACCCGATGACCCCATCTCCCAAACCAAGTAAAGCCCATGGAGAAAGTAGAATGTAGCTAAGGAAGAGCAAAGAAACGATGAGAACTGAAGGGCCTGGGTTAAATGGGGCTTTGCTGCTTTGTTCTGCCTCTTTTTTTGTTCTACTTGTTTTAACTTTTTCCTCTTTTTTTTTTTGTGTGTTTTATGGTGGGTTTTTTTTTGCTGCTTCACTAAATGCAAACCTAGTTTTGCAGGAACAAACCCTTGAACATTGTGACTTTGGGGGTTTCTTTCCAGAAGAAGAAGAATCAACAAAACCGGGAAATCAAATCCATTTAGGGGCTGCTTTGGACAAATACAGGAATCCCAGCAGCAGGTTTTGGTTCTGGGGGGAGTGTGTGTGTGGTTTAGTTTGCTTGTTTGTCCTAAGTTGCATTGACTGATGTGGAACATGCAGTATCCACCTGCCCAAACGATAGAAAATCCTTTGTTAATCCTTGATTTTGGGGGTGTTTAACTGGTTGGTTGCAAAGGGTCCCTTCAAGAGGTGGGAGCTCACTGCTTTAGATGCAACGCTGTCACACAGGAAGCAGACTATGTTTGGTATAAGATCTTCAGGTAAGTGTCTCCACAGCTCTTCTGTAGTGATACATCTCAGGAAGTCTGTAAACAACCTTTTTGCTTGCAAAGAGTTGGAACTGTACAATCCTACTGTCTCAACACTTGGATTCCCTGACGTCTTTCGGCCTCTTGGCTCTTTCCCGTCTTCCCTCCTCCGCCTGTTGCTGCTTCTCCTTCTCGGGTTTGGTTACGCTGTCATACGACGGGAGGGATGCGGTCGATGGGGTGCCTTCCTTCTTCTCCCTGTTTGCTGCCCCGTTTTCCAGCTTTGTGGACACAGGCCTTCGGCTGATGAAGCCCCGTCGTGCTAAGCGAGCCCTGTAAGCCCTCTGGATAACCACTGCTGAAACCTCTTCCTGCTTCCGCCGCAGCGTGGTTGTGATGGGCTCATAAGACACTTTGGAAGGGTTGGATGCCACAAATCTTTCCTCCATCTGTTGTCTGAGTATATCCAGCTCCCCACTGTCCCCCAGGACACGTTTAGTGAAGGCAAACAGGATGTCTAAACAGTGGATCCTGTCCCCACTTACCATAGGCAGGTCCATGGCAATGAGTTCAATGGTGTTGGGTTTTGGGACGCGGAGAGGATGTTCCAAAGCATCAGCAAAGTCTGCGAGCTTGCTGTACTCTATGAACTGGGTGGCATCAGGGTCGAACTTCTCCCAGATCTCATAGAAGGTCTCAAAGTCATCCTCACTTAGTGGATCTGCACTCTCTTCTGTGGCCACGCTGAAGTTCTCCAGGATGATGGCAATGTACATGTTGACCACAATCAGGAAGGAGATGATGATATAACTCACAAAGAAAAATATCCCCACGGAAGGGTTCCCACAATCCCCTTTAAAACCACTCCCGGGGTGCTCCTTGTCCAGGTCGCAGTCAGGAGGCCGGTTGAGGATGGGCAGCAGGAGGCCATCCCAGCCAGCGGATGTGGTGATCTGGAACAAGCAGATCATGCTGTTGCCAAAGGTCTCAAAGTTGAACATATCATCTATGCCAGCCTCATGCTTGACGTAGGCAAAGTTTGACATGCCAAAGATGGAGAAGATGAACATGACCAAGAAGAGTAAGAGGCCAATGTTGAACAAGGCAGGCAAGGACATCATTAAGGCAAAAAGCAAGGTGCGGATTCCTTTGGCTCCTTTGATCAAGCGCAGGATACGTCCAATGCGAGCCAGTCGGATGACTCGGAAGAGAGTGGGTGACACGAAGTACTTCTCAATGATCTCAGCCAGGAACATTCCTAAAGCAGAAGAGAAGGAACAAGTGTGACAATGGAAACATGAGTCTGCTGCTGCTTCTGAGCCTAGCCGAGGGGTTGGGCACCCACACCACCTTGGTCACCTTTTCAAAGGCTTCCCTTTGGGCATCTTCGCGTCTTAGCTAGATGCTCTGGGTGCCTAAATATTCTAAATGGAGGGGGAGAGAGGTTCAGCTGCAGCTTATTATATATCCTTATCTGGGTTCATCCCACCTAGATAAGGATGGATGAGCTGCTGCTTGGAGATACCAAAGCTCTCAGAGCCCAACTCTGCCATGGGAGTCAGGCTGTGGACTCTGATTTGGAAGGGGCTAAGAATGTGTAAGGTGAATGACTTCAAGCAGTCTCAGCCCGGGCAGAGCTGTGTGCAACCAAGTTTTGTGAGGGACCTTCTTTGTGTCTGTGAGGTTATGCCTATTTTAACCAGCCACTAAAAACACCCCAAACCCATTGGAGGCAACTGGTTGCTTCAACATTCAACCAAACTGAAACCAGAAGAGCAAGGTAGGAAGCGCTGCAATGCAGACAGGGAGAGGACTTGCCAACTGGTTTACTCCACACAACTGGAACTGAAAACCAGAACAGAGGGAGGAGGGTGCATTAGTCAGGGCTCAAAGCTGCCAGATTCTGCCCCAAGTCTCTTCCCAAGGCTAAAAAGAGAACCTTGAAGGTGATATGGAGGGACTTCTAAGGCAAGACCGTGCTCTACTCTGCAAACACCAAGCCAGCCTAGCACTGAGAGACCTCCAATTGGTGTCACACTTACCCACGATGGACAGAATCACAACCACGAAGTCAAAAATGTTCCACCCGATGGTGAAATAATAGTGCCGCAAAGCGAACATCTTCAGCACACACTCACAGGTGAAGAAGATGACAAACACCAGGTTGATCCAGTAAAGGATGTCCTCCATCTGCTTGCTTTGTGTGTCTGTCTCCACCATCATGGTGACCATGTTGAGGCAAATGAGCATCATGATGACTATATCAAATGCTTGCTGAGTAACAAAGTCAAAGACAGCTCCCTGAATACGGTTCTGTGCAACAGGGGAGAAGCAAGGAACCACATGAGACTGAACCATCCGTATTTAAGGTGGAAACAAGGATAAGGACATGGAGTCTGCAGCATCTTATGAAGCTTTCAATGCAAACTCTAACCACAATTCAACCTGCTTATGCGAAAGGCAGGAAAATCCCCTTATTTACACCCCAAGCATGCTACCACAACCCAATTAATCCTCCTCTCTGTTGGGACCAAAGGCAGGGTGATATACTTCCATCCACCACTGCAGAAAGCAGCCAGCTCTACCTTGCAGTGCTGAGTGACTGCAGGGTACCTGAACTAGATTTCAGCTACCTCTTTTGCAGCAGGATGCCTTGTCCACAGCAGGGTCTAAGGGACTCACCCAGTAGCACATGCAAAGAAATGTGCTTAGGTCTTAATGAATGCAACGCACAAGGCTATCTAGTTGTGCAAGTTCCCTTCCACTAATGCCAAGAGGCCTCCTCCTCTACAATCTCCTACTCCACAGCCTCTCAGCCAGTCAGGGTTTGCAGATGGAGTCAAGTGCACTGATTACCATCAACCTCAGCTGCAGCATTTGAACCTTTCCCAGATGATACCTGAATTATAATGACAAGAAATGGTGACGTGGAGTCCAGCATGAGACAGAACAAAAGATGCTTTTGGAGCCAAAGCTCCTTTGAAAGTCTATTCCTTCAGTTCCCTTTCTAACATACTCACCAGAGGTCGAGGAATAGGTTTTTGAGGCTTCTTTGAGCCCAGTTTTTTCATGGCATTATAATACTTCTTCTGCTCTTCCGTCATGAAAATATCTTGACCTCCAAAGTAAAGGGGCAAAAGGAAAGCTGGTTACAATCAGCTCCTGAACCAGAAGGGAAAGGAGTACCATCCTAGCTAAGTCTTGAGGATCCCTGCCATATGGGAAGTTGGTGGCACCTATTTCAGACTGAACTAATGTATGCTAATACCCAAGGTGCACAGTGTTTTCCTTTATGGAAAACAGAGGATTTTAACCTACAAAGACCTTGGCTATTGAACAACATCCCACCCCATCCCCTCTACCTCACTTGGGATGAACAGGGAGCAGTGTCAGGCCTTTTAGCAGGTACTGCATACCTGCAAATCCTCGGCTTGACTTACAGCAAAGAGAAGCAGTAAATGCAAGAGAGACAGAGGAAACATCCGACCTCCACTCTGAATACTTCAGTCAAGGCAAAAAACCCACCCCAGAAATGCATAAAGATGTAGTCTAGGGAGTTCTACATGAGGCTTTGGGCTGCCTCTTCTGCTCCCTGAGCCTGTTCAACCAGTCTTGCTGGGGCTGGGTAGGGAGCGATGCACCAAGTCATAGTGGTTCTGCAGACCACAGCTCTAGGAGGGGAGTTTTGTGCCCCAAATTCATCAGCCTGAAGACCCAGCATCCCAGTTCCCCCATTGAGCAGCACACACAGATCACTTATCTTTTTCTTTTGTTGATTGAAGTTGTCAATGATGACACCAATGAACAAGTTGAGGGTGAAAAAGGAGCCAAAGATAATGAAGATAACAAAATAGATGTACATGTAAATGTTGTCCTCATACTTGGGTTGCTCTTCTTGCTGAAGAGGAGATGAGAAGTAAAATAAGTGACATTTTAAAGACATCCTAACAAGTAGAGTCAAAAGTATTGGTTCCAGGAATTCCCATGTAAAGGCAGTCATGCTTTGTAAAGCTGGAGTTACATGTAGAAAACCACATCCTCACACTGCTTAAACTGACTTTCACTGTCAGTGGGGTCAGTGCCCACAGAACATACAGAGATTTGCAAGCCACAAAGGATTTTAATGACAAGCTGAAGACCTCATCCTTTCTTCTAAAGAGGGATGGGTAAGAACATCAGCTGAGCAAGAAGAGAAGAATGGGTTTCTACACTGTCCTGACACACTTGTTTCCAGTCCTACATTGAAATCCATTTCATAATCTTTTCATATAAAACCAAAAGAAGGGGGATAAAAAGAACTCATAAAGCAAAAAGGAACTAATGGCTAATTAGCTAATTCCAGCATGCAGGAACAGGAAAAGTGCCTGAAAGAAGAGCTCCAACCCAGACATCGTTTCAAAACTGGATTCAAACCAACACTTGGGCTCCCATGTAGATGCAAAGGTTCACAGAGGACCTTCTGGCTAACCCCTCTCCATAAACAGGTAACATCTCTGTATTCCTTTCCTCACAGCAGTTCTACTCCAGCAGTTTCCCTCCTCCTGGAGCAGCCAGAATTACCTTGGTCTTTTCAGGACCTTCTTGAGCATCCTCTAGCTTCTCACACTAACACAGCCAATGAAACCACCACAGCATTAAACACAGAACATAAGCACAGATCTACCACTTTTACTCTTGATTTTACCAAATTTAAACATTGGGAGGCAAGTTTGCGCTCATGTACTTTACCTTTCTGGAATCTACTGCTGCATACATGATGTCCATCCAGCCCTTGAAAGTAGCCTAGCAAAGAAAACACACCTTCTCTTAGACAGAACTCACCCCAAGGGAAAGAACATTGCATTGAACATCAGTATTACTTCAGTTACTCTCTGATTCTATGATAAATGACTCTAAACAGGTTTATTGTTGTCTCATGGAAGCTTTGGCGGACTCTTGAAGAGTCAGGGCCACTTCCTGTGCTGGGCAATCCATAGTAACCACAGGGCTGAGAGATCAACAGCAAACCCAGCCCCAAGTGGGATAAGTGGAATGCTGTACTGCAATGGAAGAAGCCAAAATGCACTCGTAGCAGCTTGTATTTCCCAGGGAGATGGTGAAAGCCAAACTTACCACTTGGAGAAGAGCCAGATATCCTGCGCCAACGTTGTCAAAGTTGATTTTGACGTTCTTCCATCGGATCTCGGTGGAGTTGGGTGGCATCAGCGCCTCACAGTCTGTCTTGTTGTTAACAATATCTATTTCAAAGCGCTCCTCAGCTGTTTCATTAAAGCAGTAATGATACTTCCCAGCAAACAGGTTAACCCCCATAATGCTGAAAATCAGCCAGAAGATAAGGCAGACCAACAACACATTCATAATGGAAGGGATAGCGCCAACCAAGGCGTTGACAACCACCTGTGTTGGAAGGGGTGGGAAAGAGGTTCAGTATAAAACACAAGGCAGGAGACAGCAAAGCATCAGTACAGCTCTTTTTGAGGGGGGGGAATAGGAGGGAAGGCCACTGGCAGAGCCGTGGCGTTGACTCCACGCAGAAGTTGGCAGTGAACTTATTCACTGTAAAAGGAATTCAGCTTAAAAGCCACCTCCTGAAGCTCTGTTTTGGCAAGAAAACAGGCCAGTTTCTCACATTCACTGTGGTCTGAGGCTGGGTTCTTTAGCGAAATAATAGTTCTTTGCAATAGTTCCAGTTGCCAAAGGAAGGGGGGGCTTTATACATGAGGCTCAGACTCTCTTCTTAGCACCAAACAGGCTCCTAAGCTACAATTTACTCAGAGTCAAGCTGGAGGCCACTTCTGCTCCTGGATTTCTCAGCCAGTGGCCCTGCCGGCCATTCCCCACTTGCAAACAAGGCTGTCAGCACTTCGAAGCCTGCCTCCTGCTCCCACCGAGGCCACCAGCAACCTGCAGGGCACCGGTGGGGACAGGACCAAGCCCGGTGTTGCTCTGTTAAGACTAAGCGTGAGTTGCTGTAAACATCAAGATCATATCTGTGACTAAGCAAGGCCAATGATGGTGTCTCAGGCAGACAGCTGAGCATGCAGCTATGCAGGCTCAAGAGGACAGAAAAGCCATGTTCCTTCCTCCAAAACGCAGAGAATGGGTTTTGTCAGAGCTCAGATCTTCCATTTGAGCCTTCCATAGTTTGGGAGCACCATGTCCCTGAGCATCTCTGGCCAACACATGACCAAACGTAGGCTTTTGACAGAGTCAGGTCAGCAGGGTGTTAAATCTTTGATTATGATCTCCTGATGCAGATCCCTTTAATAGACAAACAGAATCCAAACTGGTTTCACCCCTTTGTCTTAGTTTTGAAAGGCTGCTCCATCCCCTGGTGATCTCGGAGTCCACAACTGGTCCTGGTCACTACCAAGTGTCCCCTTCTCCTCCTCCAACATCTCTTTGCTGGATGCAACCACCAAACACAAGCTCAGCTCTGCAGCAAGCACCCATCCTTCACCACAGCCACATGGTTTAGTGGGGTGAAGGTTGGACTTGATGATCTTAAAGGTCTTTTCCAACCTCGTTATTCCAAGATTGTAGGGATGAAACTTGAAGACAACCATGCTCTAGACAGTGGCATTACAACCACTGCTAAATGATGGGATGAATTCAGGGTTCAGAGCCAGGTTGGACACAGGGGCTTGGAGTTCCTGGTCTAGTGGAAGGTGTCCCTGCCTGTGAGGGGGTGGAACTAGATGATCTCTAAGGTCTCTTCCAACCCAAAGCAGTCTATGGTTCTATGATCACTGTATACCCCATGAAGTGTAAAGAGCCAAGCCCTCCACACAGGCTCCGTACAGAATGCCTTTGCTTTTACCCTCCCTTCAAGCAAATAGGATGCTCTGCTGAAAAACCAACCCAACAGCAGTGTGCCTTTTTAGTTTAAGATCCTTACAGATACCCATACGCTGCTTTATTCCACTCATCATGGGAAGCAAAAACCTGACATATCCTCCCAAAATCTGGTCACTTGGAGCACATTGAATTTATCCAGCATAGAACAGAGAGAAGGAACATGGCTTTTGTGTGCAGAGTGACAAAAACACATGCATGTTTCATAGCATTACTGTCAAACTTCCTGAATCATTTCAGAGCAGAGCAAGCTCTTGGGAATGCAGATTACTATGGAGTAGAGAAAAGCAAAGAACTATCGCTGTTGCCTTTGCAAAGGCATTTCAAATCTCTGTTCTCTAACTCAGAATTGTACTAGTTGCATGGGGCAGCATCACTTCAAGTCAAAACAAAGGGAGAAGAACTGGGTTTAGGTAACTACCAGGGCTGCAGTTGCAGCTGCCTATCAATTTGGGTGAAATCCCCCACTTGAAGCATGAAAATTCCCTTCTCTGGCACGGCTTAGAAGTAGCTTTTAATCGCTACAGGTTTAGTGCTGGGCCTTTTCCTTTGTGATCATACTCGTAGGTGGGACCTGAACCCAGCCGAGCAACAGCTCTGGCTTTGCATCCATGGGCCTGCATTAGTGAACAGAGTTTAGAATGAAGCTAACTGACACAAAGAAATAAGAGCAGGGTAACATTAGGGAAGAGAGAACCCTCTTTGGATTTGTTCTATCATTTATTCCTATTGCTTCCTATGGGATTGGAGGTTTCCTGCTTAGCTCCTTGCCTTTCTCGCACTGTATTTCATGCTACAGCAGATTCAAAGGACATCAGAAGGATCCAGGTGGAACTGCTCCTGAGGTAAAATTGTGACTGCTATTCCCTTCCCTTTTCTTTCAATACCTCATTTTCTCTCTTCTATACCTCTCATTGGGAGCTAACTGGGATTTAGCACAAAAGAACCTACATTATTGTCCTAAGAGGAGTGGGAAACCCATTAATACATCGTAAGCCTTTGCTTTTTGCATGTTCTTCTAGCTGATTTCAACCCCAAATGGGAAAAGAAGGCACCAAAATAGAGACTAACAGTGGCAAAGCAGTGAGACACTGCAGTGGTTTCCAATCCCGAATTGCTATCTACCAATTTGAGGAAAGCTGGTTAAGTTCAATGCTTTGCTTGTGCTTTGGTGCTAGTTCCACAGTGACAGGACAAGGGGACCATAAAGCATGGTAAGAGGGAGAGAGTGGAAGGGAAAAGCTTCACTATCAGACAAGGCTTCCAGTCGCCACCAGACTGGACCGAGAACAACAAGGTGCAACAAGAGGAATTCAACCAAAGCCTTTTTTCAATGAGCTGAGCTCCCAGCAGTCCCTTCCTGAAGGCCTGAGTGATCCAAGGAAGGAAGGAAGCAGCCTTTTACCCCCTTGCAGGCAGATTGCCCTTTTAAAACCCCCTCAGATATGGTCTTTGAATCCAATTCCACCAGCGGCCAACACGGTGAGGGGCTGGAGACACTGAGGTGGTTCCAATTCTGCTTCTTTGCACCTGGTGATTCTCCCTAGATAGAAGAAGTTACAGCTCAGAAGCCCCCTCAGATGCTAGAGGTAAAAGCCAGGCTAAATGAGAACAGCCAAGTGTTAACATCATCTACAAATGGCATGTGGTTTGGGCCAGTATCGAATGTAATGAGGCAGCTTAATGCATCTCCCTTTCTTAAAAGGGGAGGGTGCAGCGGTGGGCAGGGTGAGGGGACATCCACGGTGGGTGATCGAGTCAGCAGCTGCATCATGATTCTCTTTGGAATTTGGGGCTTTTTCCACCAGTTTTGATCAGTTCTAGCATGCTTAAAAAAGAAACGCTCCACAGGCATGCAGAAGGATCAGCTGCTAATGGCATCTTACCCTCATCCCCTCAAATCGGGACAACGCTCTTAAAGGCCTCAAAGCTCTTAGTGTCCTAAGGGACTTTATGGCACCTAGTTCCGAGTAGCCCAGGGCATTAGCTATAAGGCTGACTAAAGAGACCTACACAGAAAATAGAAACAAAGGAAAAAAAAAAAAAAAGAAAAGAAAAGAGAAAAAAAAAGAAAGAAAATAAAGAAAGAAAAAGGGAAACAAAACACAAAAGGTTCCAGACTGTTAGAATGAGTCCCCTAGCACTGCTTGCCCCAGAATAAATCCCGAAGACATGCCACCAGCTGCCTACTTCACTTGACTGAAAGGACCTGGAAGGAAATAATGCGGTTGAGAAAGGCATAAGAAAAGAACAGAGAGGGGAAAGATAAGTGAGAGGCAGAGACACACAGACGGAGAAGGGGTCTGTCGGAAGGAAGAGCCCAAACGATGACAAAAACCTTACCCTCGCCCTTTACTGTCTGCAGGATCCCAGCGGCTCCCATTAAACTTAAGCCAGACAAATGTTAAAGGTACCTATGAGAAAGAATACAGATAAATACACACACTGCACAAACTGCCCTCAACTCGCATAGCAAAGCCACCGTGTTCACGCTGAGTGGTGCCGCTCCATCCGTGGCCATGGCCTTCAGAGCCGGGACTCGTGAGAAACCTCAACACTGAGTGATGGGCAGCTCATTCCAACCAGTACTGCCTGGAAGCCCAAGGATGGGCTCTGGATTCTCTGCCTGTAACACACAGCAACTGCCGTGCACTTGCTGGAAGGTGCAGTGCTCTTTGCGAGCACCTCGGGGCAGGATGAGGATGGGGAAAAGCCCATGTTAAAGATGGGCAAAATGAGGTGTGCAGCGACGACGGGCTTGCTCAGGCTCGTACACTAAAACCACAACACAGCTGGGGACAGCCTCTTGGATCCAGTTTTCAGCCACAAAGACAACCCATTTTCTTTAGCAGCCTGGGATCAGCTTCAGGCTCTTATGAATTACCCAACAGCCTTTAACCAGGGGCCTGCAGGACTAAGCCCTGTTGTACCAAAAGCCTGGAAGCTTGAAACCATCTACTTCTTGCCCTGGCATGTGTGTTCCATTCCCCATTCCCCACGTGAGCCAACTGTTTAGACTAGATCAGCCATTACTTGGCCATATGGAAATAGTATCTACAGGCACCATTTCAGCAGCAGCCCACTATCTTCCATCACGTTACAGACACAGATAAGAAACAGATATGTCAACCTTTGTTTAAGGGAAAAAAAATAAAGACATCAATATACAGCAACAAATAATGGAAAAACATAAGACCTCCTCCTGCAAAAGGTGGGGTTTAGCTTAATTCTCAGAATAGATAGTTCCTACTTACCATCCTTTTCTATAAAAAGGGATATTAAGATACTAATGTGAAATGAATTACATGGGTAATTCTTATTCCACACATAGTCCAGGACCAGATTTCAAATGCATAAATATGTGGGAAAAGGTGGAGATTTCACCTTATTTTCCTGGTGGTGCACCAGACTTTTTCTGTCTTCACAACTGCCTCTAAATAAGTGGCCAAAACCTATGGCAACTTATGGCAATGGGGCTCCTGGTTTTGCCATGTGGGTTTAAAATGACACTGATTAAAGCCAGGGCTGTCCCAAAGGTTTACAACAAAGCCTTTGGGAAGCAAAATCAGGCTAGTCAGGAAGGGACCGAGCCCACAGCAACACCAGGATGTTAAAGTCCTGGTCCCAGCTTTCAAAATACAGAGGAATGGGCTATAAGGTCCATACAGAGAGAAATGCAGTGATTTACCCTGTACATATAATACAGGGTCCAGGCTTCACTGAATCCTCATTTTTAGAGCTTCTTCCCCTTGGGATAATGCCCCGCTCCCAAGTAGGAAACGAACACAAGGGCAGTGAAGTGACTAAAGGCCATTTGAGCTTTCATGGGGTCTTTGCAGTATTATTCTCTGGGGACACTCTGACAGGAGACACAGCAGGCACCGATGGCAGACAAAAGGAATTCCAGATTGACTGAAAAGCAGAAGCCTTCATTATTACCCAGCAAAAGACTTTGTCTTCACAAATAGACCCAGCAAGCTTTGGGAACCAGAGGAGGAGAGTTATTTGACAATGCTAGCAAACCTGAAAAATAACATTCAAGAGGGTTGTTATGATGCAAAGGCTTATTGGCTATTAGTCACGGCTGCCACCCTGCCTTCACTTGAACCCCAGCCGCAGCACGTTAGCAAAGTGGTTATAAAGTGTGATTTAACAGGTACAGACACATGTGTTCTCTCCCTGTAAGTGTACTACCTGCCTGGGAAGTTCCTTATCTTTACTCCAGATACTTGGGAAGGAAATGAAACTGCACTTTGTTCCCAGCAGCTGGAATTGGACTCACAACACGGAGCACAAGGGCTGTGAATGCTGCTTTTGTGCTCAGCTGCTGGTTGTCATTTAATACAGTGCAGAAGAGGTGGTATCTCACATTAGTCCCCATGTTAGCACTTGTGCTTCATCTTAAGGCAGTGAAAGAGATAGAAGGTTATTTTCAGCAAGGAAGAGTTACTACTTCAAGACGTGTGTTAAGGGAGCAGAGAGAACTAGGAAGAAAAAGGGATAAATGCAATTTTCCATAGGAAATGCAGATACTTCTGCCCTGGAATTCCAAGCACAGCTCCTCCACCTACTCCCAAATATTCCCAGAGGGATAATGTCACTGAACAGCAACTTGGCATAACTGAATTATATTCAAAAGGTTTCAAAGGAGAAGCTTGGAAGACAAATGTCAATGGTTTTCTACTTGTTCTTGGGGCATTCACTAAGGGCACTGATGCACAACTGGATGCGACGGAACATTTTCAAGTCATCCAAGTATTTGGGAGCCTGAAATTCCTTGTTTTGCAATTCTTTGGACTTTGAGTCCTACCAAATTCCACCATTTTCTGCTGCTGACAGCATAAATTCCACTCATTTTAAATGCCCTCACTGTGCTTCAACGCTCCGTGCTCGATGTTCAGAACAACAGACCTTGGTAGGTGGTGGGATGGGAAGATTTTTGCCTGCCCCATCATTCCCCCATCCTTAACAACACAAGCAAATGACTACAGGAAGAGGGTGGCACCAAGGAATACCAGGTCTGACCAAGCTCTTCCGCTGTTAACACCTTCCAGTAGCTCAACATGTGGTCAGGCCTCTCTGAAAGAGTAAAACAGCACAAGAGCCAAGGGCTGGAAAACCCTTCTTTGCCCCTGCAGGGCAGGAATTCCACACTTGTAATACTCAAAGGACTCAAAGGGGCTTGGAAACTCAAGAGGTATCTGGGATTGAATCCATATGAAATATCTGGTTCAGTTAGGGCATTCCTCAGGAGAAAACATTACCCCAGCATCCTGCTAACTAATTCCAAGCAGAAAGAAAGGAGAAGGAGAGGATACATACAGCCACAATGAGGAAATCCAGCCAGCACCAGGCGTTGGTGAAGAACTTGACAAATCCATAAGCACACCACTTCAGCAACATCTCTAGGATGAAGATGTAAGTGAAGACTTTGTCTGCGTATTCCAGGATGGTCCGGATGGTTTTCCTCTGTTCTATGTAAATATCCTCAAAAGCCTGGGAAATAACCAGGTACTCGATTCAGATCGGATTTATTCCATAGATGTTTTCCAGCAGCTTATTCAAACAGCCCCGAGATAAGCAGCAGAATTACATCTTTACACAGTGCACCTTATCTAGTACCTGCCACACTACTCAGTAGTTGTCAAACCAGAATGAACCACCCCAAGAATGAAGTCCTGACTAAATGACACAAGAAGAACTCTGCCTTTAGGGGATGGGAGCGCAGCCTTTCTAGCTAAACCAGTTCAGCAACTGGTACCATACTGGAGCACACGAAGGCAGGCTTTCTCTGCAGCTCGGCACATCCAGAAGGGCTGAGTTTGCTGGCACTCAGACTGTTAACTTCATTAGTACATGCAGAGAAAGCCAGGCTACTGCTGTGGTGTACACATTGGTGTGGACTTTGGTCCTAAAGCTCCTAACGGGTGCTTGATGTTGGTTGTTGTATAACCCCATCTACTGAAGAGCGTGCAAACAAAAAGAGAGTGATGTTTTGGATCTATGGAAGCACCAGGTCAAGTGGTTCTGCAAAGATGGGAAAGGGAAGGAGGGGAAATCCAGTGAGACCTGAGAGATGCTGCCTTGGTCCAAACCCACCCGTTTCCATGAGCAGAACCTGTGCTGTACTCACCAGAGCACCACTGCTCAGGAGGATCATGAAGATGATGAAAGTCTCAAACCAGTTATGTTCCACAATGAGGAAACAAGTCTTCCTCAAGGTCCACCAAGACTTCCCCAGCCCCTCCTCAATATTGACCTGGCAACATTTGCAGCGCTGCGTGCACCCTGCAATGGGGACAGTGCACAAAGCAGGATGAGCCCAAGGTTGGCCAGGTAACATGGCAAGAATATAAAGTTGCCATTGTCTAGAAGCAGTTTCGATGCCAACAATATCAAACAGGCCGAGTTTCAGTTCAAACTCTTGTGTTCTTGAGGATCTGATGATTACATTCATCACTTCTGCATGTGGGCACCTGAAGTAACATCATTTTGTGAGCAGCTTAAGCCCATTCTATTTGCTGAGCTTTCCATGCACTTGACAGAAGACAAATGGAAACCTTGCTGATAACATAACCTTGAACCATTTAGGGTATCTTTGCCACAGAATACCTGTAATGGATCAGTTGCTGAAAGACATTAAGGCCAGCAACAGAAGGGGGAAGAAAAAACTGACCTGAAGCCAAATTCTTCTGCTTCCAAGTACTCACAGCATCAGTTGTACACAAGATCAATTTGCTCTACCTATAGGACATCTACATCCTCGCAACGGAACTACATATCCAAGGGCTTCTTTCTACACTCATAGTCCGCTTACCTTCTGTGAAGCAAGCATCTGGGTCCAAATACTCCTCTGGTGCCTCCACAGGGACTTCTTCCACTTCAGGCTTGATGTCAATGGTGCTACCTTCAGAGGAGCTCGTTTCATCCAGTTTCTTGAATATAAACCAAAAGCCAATCCAATCCATCATTAGTTCCCCCCAAAATATCCAATCTCATGAGGACTCAGCCATTTGTTCACCAGATTTACTGGAACAAAAGCTGCTTCCTCACTCCATCCCATTGAGATCCCAACCCAGCTTCCATCCATTTCATGTAAACATGAGTATGAAGTATTTCTACTCTACATGTTTAATAGCATTTATATTCTATATATGAAGTATATATAGAATATATATCTAATAGTATTTGTGGCTCTCCATAGAGCAACCAGCACAAGAAGCTTGTGACTTGAGTGCAAAGACAACATCATAAGATAGAACCAGAAGGTTTGTGCTGGAACTATCTAGTTCTCCCTCCCAAGATGCTTTCAGGCCCCCACACCACCACTGAGTGACTAGAATGCATTTGGAGCATCTCACCCTACCTCTTTGCTGCCATCAGGGTCTGTATCACTGCTGAAATCTTCTGTGTTGTGATTTTCAAAGTCTGATTCACCTACAGCAATAGGTACCCGGACAGTGAGATTGGGGTTATTGATGAAGGACATGTGATCTTCATCTATTATGTACTTCTCCACACTGCTCCCAATTCCACTTGTGGTGCCATTGCCATTCTTCTGATAATCAATGTCTCTGTTGATATCAGCCCCTGTGTGGTTAGCGATGCAGTTTACCTTCTTGTCATACAACTCATCCAAGGGTTTGACCTCATCTGCCTCCCTCTGCTTGAAATGAGCCTGCATGAACTCACGCACTTTTGCCTTGATCCAGGCAATGCCCTTCTTGATGCGGATAACAGAGATCTGCAGGTTGTTCATCTCCCCATCATCATCTGTTGCTGCTAAGTTGTCTGCGCTGAAGGAGCTCAGGAGCAAGGCTAAGAAGAGGTTCAGCACCTGAAAGAGAAGAGGGCGAGCTTGGCAGAGCTGACCCAGGAGCATCCAGCCACCCAAGTCCTGCTGATGTTAAGAAGGAAATGGGCCAAACTAGGTGTTGAGTGATAGCTCTACATCCTTGCCCACATCTAGTGATAGTTCCCTTGGCGAGACAAATCCTCCCCGAGCCAGCTCACAACACTGCTTTGGAGCCATGCAACTGTTCACACTACTTCATCCTTGCTTCCATCTTCCTCCATAGGCTTTTCTTCCTAGGATTTCAGACCAGAAGGAAGCAGCATGATCTAAGTCTAACCTCCCACACACCAGGCCGTGCAGTTTCACCAGCCCATCCCTGCGCACAACTACACCTCATGACTGAGCTGGTGGGCAGATTCTAGAAGGAACTTCCAGCCCCATTTGAACACTTCAGGATCTTCCCCTGTGTCCCAAATTATTGCCATTTGAAAAGGCAGGTTTGGCTTCTTTTAAGCTTCTTTTATGCCCTCAGGGTCTGTCTCCTGTAACTGAGGGGTTTGTACCTCCAGCTTTTAGTGCTTGGATGCTTTATTTTTGGGCAACTGTTTAAAGTCCATCAAGCAAAACACATCCTTAACCTTGTGCTACCAAAGGCGACGGGGCTGTTCATACGTTGAAGGCCATGAAGGACCCCGAGAGAGAGAACAGCCTCCCAAATCATGACTCCTCTCTGTGCTCTCCCCATGTCCTACCCCACCCAGAGGCAACCAATAAAGCCCATCAGTAACCATTTACTGACCACTAAATTGCCGATGACCATGACCATCATGAAGACAATCAAGCACATGGCCTGTCCCGCTACTTCCATACAATCCCACATGGTCTCAATCCATTCCCCACACAACACACGGAAGACAATAAGGAAGGAGTGGAAGAAATCGTGCATGTGCCAGCGGGGTAGCTCACACTCCGGATTGATCTTGCAGACACACTCCTTGTAGCTTTTGCCAAAGAGCTGCATTCCCACCACGGCGAAGATGAACACGATGATGGCAAGCACCAAGGTCAAGTTCCCCAAGGCACCCACTGAGTTACCGATGATTTTTATCAGCATGTTCAGAGTGGGCCAAGACTTGGCCAGTTTGAAGACTCTCAGCTACAAAGAAACCCAGAAGAAACAACCAAAAAGGACATTAAGTTGAACTGCATCTGAAACAAAGAGGAAAATCAGGCAGAACTTTCTACACGGCAACCACCTCATGGTTTATGCACACGTAAGCCCACGACTATGGTTGTCCCGGCATACCCAGACCCCACAATCAAGGTTGGGTTTCATCTGCAAACAGGCTTTCTGGAGCTGGATGTAAGTGGGAGTTCTGTGCTCTTAGAACATCTGAGCTCGGTTGGGGTTCAAAAAGCTAACCTTGAGGCTTCCATTTCAAAAGCTTCCTCACTGACAGCACCAGTTTAAAGCACATAAAGGCTGTAGCTATTGAGCACTTTTATTCTACTATAACATAGAAACTAACACATTTGATCACATGAAAGAAGAGGTGCTTTCTAACATGGTCTATCTCCATTCATACTCCACACCAAGGTACTTCCCAAGTCAGCCCTCACTGCCTAAATGCAGCTCAGATCTCATGAAGAGCAGTTGCGAAGTAAGAAGAGAGCACAAAAATGACACCATTCCATCTCTGTCCTTCCCCAAACCAGGAAACAAGTGGGCTTTGCCTTTTCTTATGTAAAGAAAGCTTTCTAGTAGCTCCAAGATAGTAACATTCCAAAAGAACTGGAAGATGGAATACCAATCGGAAAGATCGCAGCACAGAAAGTCCTTCCACATCCGCTAGACCCAGTTCCATTAAACTGAGGGAGACAATAAATCCATCAAAGATGTTCCAGCCTTCTTGGAAATAATAGTAGGGATCCATGGCAATGAGCTTCAGGAACATTTCTGCTGTGAAAATTCCAGTGAAAACCTGGAATGGTGAGAAGAGACAGACAAAGAACAGACAAAGATTCATTTCTGTTCATCTCCTGATCTTCAGGCTCATTATCAGCCAATGAGCCAACTCAAACATGCAGCCCATGCAATGGAGGAGCAGTTCTTCCAGTCTAAGTGCACATTAACAAGCAACATATTCCAGGAGCAGCAGATCTGTAAGGACTCTTTTCCCATGCTAGCTTACCAGATTCCCTACGGAGAGCACACGTTCAAACTGTGGGGTCATAGGATGGTGCTCCATAGCCATGAACAACGTGTTCAGCACAATACAGATGGTGATGGCCAAGTCAACAAAAGGATCCATGACAATTAAGTTCACTATCTCCTTCAGCTTCATCCAGTACGGGTGGCATTCCCAGATCAAGAACGTGTTGGCAAACTTGTACCAGCAAGGGGGACACTTCCTTTGGGACTCTTCCAGCTCTACAGTTACAAAACAAAACAGCAACAGGGTTCAATGTTCACCTCAGAGGCTGCTGGATCTCTGGGGCACATGGATCTTGTGATCATCTTAAATGAAGGGCTATATTTAACTCAGAACCCAGCAAGGGAAAAGGGTTGAAATCAAAGTTACAGGTTCTAACCTGCCTTTGGTGCCAGCTTTTAAATATCTGGAATGAATTCTGTGCTGAATGCTGGTCTAAAAGAGGAAATACATGACACGATGCTGCAAAGGATTCCAAACAGGAATAACCTGCTTAACCACAGAAATCAAACAGGATGCTGGGTCCATTCCCTTCCCAAGTGCTTAGGAAGCACAACCAGGAGTTCCCCCCTCTAGTCCTCGACTCGCAGTGGTTCCATTCAGGCTCTCCAGCTGGAGTTTTCTCTTTTCTATGGATAGGGAAGGGACCACTGCATTCTCCTTCCCATTGGTTCTCTGGTTGCTTGGTATTTAGTTGCCTTGGAGTTGCTAAAGTTAAAAGAGAGGGACCGTAGCACTGTAGCCTGTAGGCGTTTGCGCAGGAGGGAAGCAGCAGCAGAACCTTGCTCTGTTTCTAAGTATATTTGGTTTCCCTAAAGACAGCAGAAACTTGAGCTCATCACCCTCATATGTTCAGGAACCCTTGCTCCTGCTTAACAGAGTTGGAGATCTCAGCCCCATGTGCTGTCCATTTCAGATGTGCCACCAATCCTGACGTCCCTTTCCCTGTCACCGCTCAGCTCTCAGCGTAGCTCAGATATTTCCCTCCCATGGATATAAGCAAAGGAGGGTCTCTCCAGTCCTTGGGAGATTGCAGGAGACAGAACAACTGTATCAGACATCATCTCCACGCTCATTAGTGTGAAATGAAAACTCCTTTCCTCTGTGTCAACACAATTCAGATGCAAATAAAGTCTAACAAACCCTCCTGCCTCAATAATGCCTCCAAAGAAGCAGGTTGAGTCGAAATAAATGCCTGATTATGTACTACTTAAAAGCTGGGATAGCTAAATCCTGTGGGACCGAGGGACAACCACACAGCTCCAGGGAACCCAGCAGCGTGAGGAACATCCAACTGATGGTTTCTCTGTCTTCCTACATCACACCACGAGGGGGCAATCGCTACAAACACACTGAAAACCACCAAAGGCACATCCCAAATCACACCTACCCTCCACAAGGGTGTTTGTCAACCCGGTCATTACGCTGTTGGTTCGGTCTTTCCTTCCATAGGACGCGTTCACCTGATCCATGGAGACCAAGAGAGAGCCACCAGGTTTCTTCCTGATTTCGATCTCGGTGGTACCCTGCAAAACCCACATGATGATCAATACAAACTCTTGGTCTTCCTGCTATTTTACATACTCTTGGCCTAGAAATAAGGCATGTGGCCCCTGACAGAGAAACGTGGTTGTCCTGCTGTGCTTCTCACTTCCCTGGGTGATGTACGTGGACACAGAGCCAGCAAAAGAAGTGCTAAGTACTATTTCTCTTTCACACACGCATTAATCCCACCGCATCCACGCTAGAAAGAGAATTAAATACTGCAGCAAAGCATCATATGAACATGTTACCTAGGGAAGAGAAAACCAACAGGCAGCAACTGATGCTGAACAGGCTGCTATCGGCAGTGCTTTAATTCAGGTCTCTACCTCAAGCCTTTTTTTCCCAGGGGGAGAAGGAGGTAAGTTGGCTGTTGAGTTTGAGAAGGGAAAGGGGGGAAGTTAAAGCACAGGGTGTTTAATCCAACACAGACTTTCTAATCTGTGGTCATAGAGTGAATCACAGAAGCATGGAATGGTTTTCAGTTGGAAAGGACCTTAAGATCATGCAGTTCCAACCCCCCTGCCACGGGGAGGGACGCCTCACACTAGACCATGTCACCCAAGACTCCATCCAGCCTGGCCTTCAACACTGCCAGGGATGGAGCATTCCCAGCATCCTTGGGCAACTTATGCCAGCACCTCACCACCCATATCATAGAGTGGTTTGGGTTGGAAAGGACCTTAAGATCACGCAATTCCAGCCCCCTGGATGGGCAGGGACACCTCACACTAGACCAAGGCTCTGCCCAGGTTCACGGCATAGAGGAGAAGAGGAGAGACCCCCGCGCCTGGGCTATCTACTCATCGCCCTCCTCCCAGTGCCATGGGCAGCCTTCTCTCTCTTCACCTCCGGCAGCAGGCGCCCCCCGGGCATGCTGGCGGGGGGCCCCCCGATGAGGGACACCACGCCGTTGCAGTCCACCGTGCTGTTCCTCTTCACGCTGCGCCGCAGGTTGGGGAAGATGCGGGAGGATCTGCTGCCCTGGCTGTAGCCGCTGTAGCCGCTGTAGCTGCTCCCGCGGTCCCGGCCGCGGATGGGGATGAAGAGGGAATCCCTCCTGCCTTCGCTCTCCTCCACTGTGCTGTGTTCATCATCAGCAAACTCATTCTCTGAGCCCGGGTCCCGAAATCGCCCTTTGTAGCTGAAGATGCTGCTCTTGCTGTTGTGTCGGGAGAGGAAAGGGGAGCCGGGGATGCTGAGGAGGGACTGGGAGAGACAAGAAAGAATGACAGTGAACAGTGTGGTATAAAGCACTGCAGTGCTCTCAGGTGCTGCTGAGGTGGTTTCACCCCCTCTCCAGGTCTACACAAATCATCACTGGCTGTGCTTTCCGAGTGGTTCACTCTTGGCTAACGAAGTTACCTGCTTTGATTCCCTACTCTCAGCAACCATTTGTGCCAGGCTATAAGCGTCCTCCTGATCCTCTGCAGGTTTAAGATGATGGGCAGATTCCTCTGACGTGCCCATCAGGATCTAAACTAGAACATTATCCCAACTCCAAGCAAGCACAAGTGCTAGCAAAGGAAAGGAAAACTACCTGGTTCATGATGGAAAACTTCCTTCCCAGCCTGTTATCCGGTAGCCTGAATGCTTTCCTCCTCATGCCATCCTCGGATTCAGACTTGAACACCTTCTCATTGTCACACTTCTCCTCTCCTTCTGACAGCTCCTTGTCCTTGCGTTTCTTCCTCCTGTTCCGGCGCTCCTTGGCACTCTTGGAACTGAGTTTGGAAAGCTCCGAAGAGCTCCGAGACATCCTCACCCCACCACCATCATCTTCCACAGCATCTTCAGAGACTGTCCCTGCCGAAGTGACCATAGCAGCAGCCTGAGGGTGTAGGCAAGAGATTACCATGATTAATAGTCACTTTCTGCTTTAAACCCCAGTGTGGCTTCATGCATGGAACCACAGCCTTTGGGCTGGGATTGAGGTGCTTATTCCTTCTCTTGGAAGGAAAATGCAGCCAGGACATTTATAGTCTTCTTTGGCAGCAGTAAAACCTCTCTCAGCTCCTTAAAAGCGATTGATAAGGGATCAAAGATGGACTTGTCTCGCAAAGATATTCTCACACTTAACAGTTCTAGTTCCCTTAATAGAAGGGAATACACAATAAGCTTGCATATAATCCAGGATAAAACAGAAGGAGCAGGGAAGAGAGTGCGCAATGTCAAGCCCAGTCAGCAGATGATGTGATCCCAGGGCAAGCCAGCCATGGCATTGCTGCATCTTTTCATTATACACTATTACTCTGTAATAGGAGGCAAATACACCTTAAAATAGGCACCTACACAATGAAAGCACTCACCTGTGCTTCTTCCTGCTGCTTTTTCAGTTGTTCTAACATGGCCTTAAATTCTGCCTCCTTCTGCTCTGCCTCCTCCAGCGTGGCCTGGTTCTGCTCTTCATAAGCCATAGCTACCACAGCCAGAATGAGATTAACCAGATAGAAGGATCCCACAAAGATCACCAAGACAAAGAAGATCATGTAGGTTTTTCCTGCTGCTCGTAAGGTCTGTTAGGAGAAAGGAATGGCAGAGAAGAGGAAAGGTGAAAGCAAGTTTCAGAGTGACACCGGGTATGTGAATTGATCCCAAGTTCCTTGACCTGAATCTAAGCAGTGCTGAGTATTTAACATCTCACTGCACTAACACTGCACATTCATTAGCCAGAAACACCGAAGGTGACATCCCTCTTCTTCAGGGAACATCCAGTGGCTGCAAATTGACTATGATTCAGACACACAGTGTGAAACTCAACGCTCTGACTCCTTTCAAACCAAAGCAAACAGAAGAAAAGCCATTTCAGCAAGGTCCCCAAAGCATCCTCAAGCAACCAGGAAACACTCTGCCCTCCAAAGCACCTCCTTGTGAGCAGAGCTCAGCTGCTTCCAACCATAGAATCACAGACTGGTTTAGGTTGCAAAGGACCTTAAGATCATCCAGTTCCAACCCTCGCCATGGGCAGGGACACCTCACACTAGACCATGTCACCCAAGGCTCTTCCCTGCATTGCCCCCCACTTCCCATCGTGTCTAACACCAAAGCAAAGGGTTGACTTACCAACTGATACAAGTTCTCCCAGAAGTCCTGAGTCATAAGGCGAAATAAAGCCAGGAAAGCCCAGCTGAAAGTATCAAAGCTTGTGTAACCATAGTTGGGGTTCCGTCCTGCTTTCATGCACGTATAACCCTCCGGACATTGGCTGCGGAGAAGACAAGAGCCATTTGAGGGCACTAAGGCAGGAAAAGGGACAGAGCAAGGTGAGAACACGCATGTTATTCATGCTTATGGAGGTCCTCCTTAACACATGGCATGCCTTTTGCTTTTCGTGTCAAGTAAGAAGAGCAGACAAGGAGACTGGGCTTCAGCAGAGCCCTGGAATCCTTGTCCTATGGAAACAAGACGTGGCAACGTGAGGCTCTTCACCTGAAAGGACCAGCTTTTGTCCTTTAGAGGCCTGGGTGGAAACCCAACTGGAGGCAATAGCACATGGAGGTTTCCATTGCTGAACTTCCACCCCCTGATGGTTCTGATTGGATTCAGAGGGAAATAATGCCCCTAAGTCATCATCACTAGACACAGATCTGCCTCCTGACCTGAAACATGTCAGCTTACACCCTATTAGTCAGGTAATAACAATGGATTAATATAATTAGATTGAGAAACGTGAAATACTTCACACGTGGAATAACACCAGGAACACCAAAGGAAGCAACAGGAACCATCCCAAAGGTTTTACCATCAATGGCAAGTAGAGTCTCGACTTAAAGCTCATCACTCACCCTGCATCCGAGCTGTTACCACAGAGCAAAGGATCAGGGGCACCAGGAATGATGTAAAAATTAGCTGAAGGAGATGAAAAAAGAGAAGATTACGTGCACACACAGAGGGAGGGAGCGTTTAACACACTACAGTTCCTTAAACCCCTTCACTGAAGAGCCCTCTGCATCCCCAGCTGACTAACTCAGATGAAGCCGACTAGAAACACCTCAACAAAGCCAGGGTTCTACTCAAACATAGCTGAGCAAGGGGTTTCCACTGCTCAAAGCTGGCCACAGAGATACCTACACATATTGTTGGTGTATTCCTCCCAGTCAAAGCCCCTCGAGCCGTTATCCAGGAATGTCTCATTGACATTGATGGGCCAGATCACACACTTGTTCCTCAAATTGCCCATAAAGAGCTGCAGGCCAATGAGAGCAAAGACACTGAGACAAAACACCGTCAAGATCATTACATCGGATAGCTTCTTCACAGACTGAATGAGGGCACCCACAATGGTCTTCAAGCCTGCAGAGGAGAAAACAAGACTCGAAGTGACTCTTGTAGAATGAGAAGACAGTGAGAAACCACATACTTACGGTCCCCTACAACCACGGCGTGGTGGCAAAAGAGGGTTGCTATAAACCAGCAGGTTCCTGGGAGCCACCAGGTCGTCCCACACAGAGCAATAAAGATGATGAACGGCCCAAGCTCCCTGGTTTCAGTGGTGAACTGGCAATGGTTAGAACAAATGTTCCTCCCTAAGCATATCTGAGCCTTGCAGCAGAGGATGCAAAGCATCCTCAGGAGGCCCTGCCACGAAAGCAAGGGCTTGTCTACACCAAGGTGTTAAATTAAGACACGCTGCTACAAAGCTCTCCATGGGCACGTTGAGTTCTGTTTAAGCCTGGCTTGTTGGCACAAACCAAACCAACGTACAAAGAGCCAATACTTTTCCAGCTGTCTAACCTTAAGATTCTGCTACTTAAACTCAACTCTAGCGGCACTTCCCTTCTCCTTGCAGGAGCCGCATCCTTCACTCAGATGACGGGCTTTGATGGGGCAGGATTTCACCCTCAGTGCTGGCTCTTTGGGTTCTACCAAGGCCATCAAGACCATGAAGACCTCCAAAAGATCATGAATGGCTCAATAATAAAAGGAAGCTCAGACATAAGTCAAGAATCCTGCCAATTTTCCAAACCAGGCTGGTCTGGAAGAGGAACCATCCATGAGGTGGGGGAAAAACACGGCACAAAGGCTTCAGGAAACAGACCTCTGGATGCCGAAACCACAGAGTATTTAATCAGCTTTTCTGATGGTAATCTTGCATTTACAGCTGAGCAGTGAAGGAGGCTGAATTTGGGGCCAGTCAGATCCAAGTCTCTGGCTGAGGCCATGTGAACATTCAGCAGCAAACCTTTGACAAGAAACCCTTCTATGCCAACAGAGGTTTGATCCAGATCAGGAACATCAAGATCCAAAAGGAATTCTTATGGAGGAATATTGTTTTAAATGTCTTTTATTTCAATCTTCAACGTTTTCAAGCAATGCCAAAGCCCTACTCCAACACCAAGCAGGTTTTTGCTGTTAGTTCTAGCAGACAAATACCCATTACAACACCAGTTTGCATGCTCATCTCCATCGCTCAAATATGCACCATGCAGCCATTTACACCAGCAACTGGGGTTCTGCTTTGTGTGTTGCTCTCTCATAGGCACATGAGGAGAAAGGGGCTTGGAACCACGATGCTCAATTGGCAGCAAGAGTGTTCCCAGTCCAGTCACAGGACAAACACAACTCCAACAACTCCCAGTGGAAGCAATGGCCTTCGTGTTCTGCAGATCCACATTACCACTGGGTCCTACTGAATGTCACAGACAATGGAGACTGATGGCATCAGACAACTGAAATCCCAATTCATTTACGCCAATGACCAGATCTCTTTAGAACACCAGAGTTCAATATGCTCTACCAAGCCATAGCAGCAATGTGATGGGTTAGCTCATAGGTGCCACAGTCTGCTCCTGTCACACAGATCCATGCAGACCCTCTGCCTGCATGGAATATCTTGTCTAAAAACCACACTGAGGATAATCCCAGTTATTGAAGATGTGGTTAATACTCATTGTAACACCAAGATGTTGTAATTCCCATTCCATTACACGTGCTGAAGCAGAAGGGGAACCCTGAGCCACTCTAGCACTAACACCAATAAACCAAGCCTGTAGTAAAACATACGGCTGCACTGAGGAAGGGCTCAGCTCACCCTTCCCTTGCTGTCACTTGAAATAAAAGGAAAACTCCATTGGTTTCGAGTCGTATGGAGGGAACGATCCCAAAGTGAACTGTCCTGCTCCTTTCCATAGGAAGGCAAGGCATGCTGTCACACACTTAGTACCCAGCTCATTAAAGCTGCATGGTTTTCACTTTGCTACCATTCTGAAAGCAAAACACGCATAGAACTTATCTCAACATCAATGCTGTTCTTTAAGCAAGGCAGTTAATACCTGCAGCAGGCTGACAGAATCACAGCTGCACTTCAGATCCCTCGAGCAATTCACCAAGTATCTTGTGCTCTTTAACATTGGCAAACATTAAGGAATGCTAAGTAAGAACACACTCTAGCATACTCTCATTGGGTGCAAGGAAAGCAGATGCCACTTAAGAACATCATGCACAACAGCCATGTACATCTGATGGGTTTAGCAGTCTGGAACGGGGACAAGAGCGATGGGCCCCTACAATTCCACAGTCTCTCTTCTGGCAAGCGGAGGCTGAGAGAGCAAAAGAACCATCATCAGTTAATGCATTAGGAAACAAAGCACAAAGAAATAGAAGACTAAAACTCATCAAGTGGTTATATGGGGTGAGACAGGTCAGGGAGGCGAGCTTATTGCCATGACCTAGAAAGCCAACCTGCCCCAGATCCCATCTGACTCCAAGGAACTGAAGTAGCCTCATGCAGGCCGGTTTTAATCATTGCTGCGTCTTGCTCCTTTACAAACTTATTCTTAGGAACAAGAACAGGATTTGGACTTAGGTTTTAGAACAGGTTTTACTTTAGGTTTTAGAACAGTTCTAGAAACACTGGCGATGACGGGACGACTTCCTGAGGAAGAAACTCTTTCTCCTGAGGAGGAAGGATATCCCCATTCTTTAGTCATCTGGAACTAAACTTTAGGCAGAGAGCGGATAAAGAGATAAAGAACAGGAAGAGCAGACTTCTACCCCGCCAATCTGATGGTCCAGAAGCCTCAGTTCCCAACAACTCCATTGATCCAGACTGCAAAGCCCATCAAAACCATCCCAGTGCCTTTCTGAGCAATAAGCAATGCAGGACGGGAGGGAAGGTGTGGAAAAGGGACACGCTTTGGATGCTGAACGGTTCTCACCTGGAATAACAGAGATAGTTTTCAAAGCTCGGAGAACTCTGAAAGTTCTCAAGGCTGAGACATTCCCAAGGTCCACAAACTCTGTGACATATCTGCAATGAGGGAGGTCACACACAGAAAACACCATGACAATACACACACCCAGAAAAGAAAAACACCTACTACAGACAAAGCAATACAGCACTCACAGGGGGCCTGTACCCAACAGCTAACACCAAGCGGAGGCTGCCTTACCTGGAATAACAGATATAGTTTTCAAAGCTCTCAGAACCCTGAAAGTGCGCAGAGCTGAAACATTGCCTAGGTTTACAAACTCTGTTATATACCTGCAGAATTAAACCAGAGTTAATGGCACCGTTGGGGTCACCTTTTGGTTTCCATTGTAGGAAACAAGCATTGCAAGTGCTTTCGAATGGGCATTGCAAAGGGAGAACACGCTTCAAGGGTCTCCACGCTGCAACCGGCTCGTCCAGGTGCATGGGGTGGTACCTGCAGCCTCACCTACATGGGACTACATTTAGTGTTATCTCTATAGGAGAAGGTCATTGCAAAGCTTGAAGCTGGGAGGGGATTTGGTGGCATCGCCTCACTTCAGTGGTTTCGGGTGTATTTGCTTCACTTTGTGTTTGGCATAAAGCATCAGCATCTTTTGCTTTAAGGAGCATCCTTCAGTTTAATCCTTTATGCTTTACTACCTGTTAGTGAGGCACACGTAGGCTTATCCCCGTTTTACAAAGGGATAAACCCGAGATACACAGAGGATAAGATGCTTAGTGCAAGGGTAACAGGGTTGTATTTTACCACATCTTAGAACAGAGCATTTCCTCTGTGCTGTCTGGGGAGAAACAGGGTACAAAAAGGCAAAGAAATGCACAATATTTGAGACTACTCCGGGTGCTTCACAGAACTCAGACCTCCTTTAGTGGGATTTAAATAACACACAGGCTTGTTCCAGCCCTTGACACACAAAGAGATTGGATTGGAAGCCTATAGGCAACCTCACTGGGAATGAGGGGGTTACACAGTCAGATCAGCGGGAGATTTCACATTTAAGACCAATGCATTAGGCCTTTTAAAGCTGTTCCTTGTTCATCTCTAGAGAAACAAAGGCAGTACCCAATGCAGAGGTTGAACTCAGTGTGTGTGCACGGAAGTGGGAGCTTCCCCCACACAGGCACATTCACACTGTGCACAGCAGATCCACACCTCTTCTCGGGGGAAACTAAAGGCTCAGGGAGTGACTGGTTATGTGCCTTTTGTGCACAAGGTCCAACTCTTCCCATGTGATTTAATTGCACAGCTAAAAGGTATGGAGAAAAGAGCAGAAACTCTGGGAAATCAACAGCTTTGGGGGCAGAATCCAGCCCAAGAAAGGTATTTTCTATGATTAAAGCATACAAGCGCTCTGAACCCTTCAGAATGAGGTTCCTGAGCTTTCCTGCTGTCAACTATGGGAGCCCAAACATGCACACATGCAATAGCCTAATAAGAGTTGTCAAAGGGGATATAACATTCTCTTCCAGTAGTGCCTCAGACCACCAGGGCCATCCACAAGGTTCTCCTCAGTGGTACTGAGCCAAAGCAACCAGCAATACAGGGAAAATCTAGGGAGCACCTCCTGGTTCAGCTTTCAGCCATCCCTATGAATCCTCATAATCAACATAAGCTGAGCTAGCACAAGAGAAGAAAACGAGAAAGGAAAAGAACGTGTCTCCTTTTCCAGCTCATTGGAAAGGGGTTAATAATTACTCAACCTTAAATCCCAGCCTGGGAACTTTGACCGCACAAGCCCAAGGCGGGAAGGAGTGATGGAGAATAGATGTTCGGCTTAGTCCTGTGCTGAACAGGACGAGCTGCCACTCTGGCACATGAGCAGACTAAAATGCCAGGGGCTGTTATAAAGTCTTATATTCCTAAAGGCACGTTTCAACGTGTGTTTTGCAGCAGCAGCAACACTAACTCTGTGGAGTTGCAGTTTAGGTCTGCGACTCCATGTCAGGCTAAAGCTTTCTTCTGAAGAATCAAGAATGAGTCTTTTGGGGATGCATGTCAGTTTTCCTTCTTGTTTCCTTAACCGCCCTCCCCCCCTTAAGGTCCCGTCCCTTCCCACATGCCACAGATAGCTGAAGTAAGCCGAAAACACAACTTACGCCATCATGATCACGCTGAAATCCAGCCAGTTCCACGGATCCCGGAGGAAAGTAAAGCCGTCTATACAGAAACCTCTTGCAATGATTTTCACAAGGGATTCAAACGTATAAATGCCAGTGAATGTATACCTGCAGGAGGGAGGCGGTTGAAATGCCATTTTAGTGGTGACAAAAGAGGAATTAGAACAACTTGGGTCTAAACAAAGCAGGTAGAAAAGATGACTTGGGTTGATGGGAACTTACATTTGAGGAGGAACAGATTTGTTAACTAGAACAGAAGAAGCTTTTACTTACTCCACATTCTTCGACCATTCAGGTGGGTTACTAAAAGTCATGAATACACAGTTGGTCAAAATAGTGCACATAATGATCATGCTAAATACTGTAGAACAAAGTCAAGGATCAACAGGATACCAGTGTGGCTCTTTACATCAGCTTATGGCTCCCTAAGGATCACTTACTGCAATGAAACTCAACCATTCCCAGTCTATGTGGACTACAAATAAGAGCCAGGATGCTCCCAGCACTCACGGGACATAAGACTGGGGTGCCTATATATAAATAGTGGCTTTATGTCACCATTCAATTCATTTCCTATTCTCTGCTATGTCTTTGCAATTCCCAAATCACGCGCCTAAATGGCAGTGTCTCCCCAGATAATTCCAGCTATTCAGTAACATCAGCAGTATATCCAACTGGAAAGCAGCATTGCAATCCACGGACACCCATGACTTAGCTTGGAGAAGATCATAGGAATCTTTCCAAACATCTCTGTGTGTTCAGGATCTCATGTGGCACATTTGCAGATGGAAGGTGCTGGAGTGATGTGCAAGGACAGCACAATCTCAGCATTAGAAGCCTGAGTGCATATTAACTATGGAATTATCAGCAGAATGGGTCAGATCCAAGCTGTTGGACTTCCCAAACTGTTTAAGGAGACTCAATGGATCCCAGATCCAGGCCCAAGATCCATCTGTCAGCATCTTGGTCTCAACCTGAGAGAGCTGCATCTCTCAGCTGCATCCCAGAACATCCAGAGGGGAGAAATAACACAGGAGCCAAAGAAAACATTCCCAGCCTCAGATCCCAAAGGGACTTTGGAAAGATGGAAAAGCTTTTTCTTTGTATGAGATGCAGGAAGTGAGTAAAGAGAAGCCTTTAATCCAACACATGAATTCCACTTTGGAGTCACTTTCTATGAATAAATAACTAATGAGGGAAGCAGCTCATTCAATATCCCACTTTTTTCCTCCCCCCCTCTCCTAACAACACATGCAGATGATGTTTCCCATCTCTTTCCTACCTATTCCCAAGCTGTCTGAAGCCCTGCAGGGGAGAATTTTGGAATAGCCTTGCCATTAGAAGGGTGTTTGAGATGCCAAAAGAGCAAGGAATTAGTCAGAGTCTCATTCCATACAAGGTACCTTTGGCTCTTTCTCCACATGAGCTCTACTCCTCTTCATGTAAAGAATAAATCATAGTTGATCCAGTACTTACTGATGTCTGTGAACAATGTACAGACACAGATAGGTGCAAATAGCAGGGGAAATGAATGAGGTGACTTGCCTGGATGTGTCTCAAGGACCGTGCTTTTTCAATGCTCTGGGGCCACATGCACAACCCAAACTCATCCCCACTATTGGAACTGAGCACTAGGACAAGCAGCAAGAGGTTGGTTCAATGACTATACCAAGGCAGCAATAGCAATCAAAAGGATATGAATGTATCAAAATTTTAATAGCTATTCTTCTAAACAGATTAAAAGGACTTAAAATGTACAAGGCAGGTGTGGCACTAAATCGGAAGAAAGTTTTCCCTCTGTTTAGTACTACAAAGGTCTGTAGAGAAACAAAGAAAGAAAGAGAAAGAGAGAGTTAATGCAGGAAAATCAAAGCGTTCATTATTCCCCTGGTATAAAAATAGCATTTGCTGCCTTTCTTAGAGCATAATCTCCTTTATGAAGTTCCCATTAGGGTAAAACATCCCTACCAGTGCATCACGGGTAGTTCTACTCCAACCCATCCATTTCTAGAGACCTGGAGCAGAAGCCAAACCTCCCCATCCAAGAACACCCATTTTCCCTATTTCCACTATTATCCCTATCTCCTAAAGAACCCAAAGCAACTGAAGACCACAAATTCAGGAGCAGAACTGGCAGCTGAAACCCAGCTTTATGCCACTGCCCAGGGTACAAAACCATCTTTATGGCACAGGGTTCACGTAGCCCATGTCTCCTTCCCAAACAACACACAGGACAGCATCTCACCTGCAAGGAAGCAGGTAAGCATAAAGAACATGTCGCCACCACAGCCACAGGTCAGACACCCATCATTGGGAATTTGGAGCGCATTCCATACTGGTGCACCAGCTCCAGACAGAGCCATGTGCTCTCCCTGCCTTTAATGAGCGAGATGTTAGGGTTTGCTACTTTCTCCTTATATTGATTTATATTATATAAAGGTATACTGCTTTATAAAGAAATGAATGATGTAAATGCGAGGCAGAATCGATCCCATCTCCAGACTTCAAATCCAGACCTGCTGCTCCATCTCCCCACTAGCAACATGAGTACGGAGACAACCACATGCAGCGATCTGAAGAAAGCAGAATTAGAACTGGGGCTGCTTAATCCCAGCCCTCCCAATGCACCTACCACTCAACTGGAAGAAGAAAAGGCAGTTTGTGTGCACTGAAAAGCCTTGCCCATTGTACGTGCCCTCTGCAGCAGGGCAGGATGAAGCCCAAGAGCGTGGCAGGGGCACAAGCAAATCCAGCCCACCCTTTGCATTAGCCCGGAGCCCAACAGGAGGGAATCCACAAGGGCTTCCTGCCAATGCAGCCGCTGTGCTTCCCCAGGAGGCTGGCTCTTAGGGAATTTGTCATTTCCCCTCCTAGTAAAGGGAAATGAGGGGGATTTAGCTCATTTTGGGCTAAATGAGACCATCAAGCAGTAAATTATTTGCTAAGGAAATCAAAATCAGATTGCGGTTCGGCGCCGAGTGTGAAACATTAGTTAGCAGAACCACTAATGCATCCCCCAGCAAAAGCACTTTAAAGCCAGCTCTTAAACGGCAGCATCAAGAATTAATGACCAGATTACCTTGGCATGGAACAATATGCTCTAAGTTCTTCAAAAGTGCAGGTTACAGAGTGGTCGAGGGACACCCGATGTTAGGAACCAGCTCTGGCTCCTTCCCGATGCTGCAAACTCCCCAACACTCACAGAGCAGGTGTGTATCTTCATTCCCTCTCCTCTGCAGAGGCTTTGGAGCAGGATACCCATCACACCAGGATGTTCCGGGGCTTCAGTCGTGTCCCCAGCACAACCCTGAGCTCTCCCACATCTTTTAAGCAATGAAATGAGTGCTGAACATTACATGGGCACACGAGCTGGACCAAACCCCATGCAGCAGCTCAGTTCCATAGTGCCTCCATTTCCACTTGGGAAAGATCCCGGTGCGGCAGCCCCGTGGACAAGTAACCCTATTCTTCACGTGCAGACACAGGTACATGCTTCAGATGTAAACCCACCCAAAGCCTTTCGACCTGTACGACAGGAGCGAAGCCCAGATGGGAAGGCGGATGTCAACTGCTCTAAATGGAGTGGCAGAGCCTGTTTGCCTTGGAATGCTGGAGCGATTACATGGGAACACACATTGTCAATGGCTGTTACACAAGTGGCATTCCCTGAAGTAAGATAAGCTGCTTCATCCAACGAGCAGGGCAACTGCATGAACAACCTGCTTAGTCCTTCACCTATTACATGACCTCACATAAGGCAGCTCCGTGTTTTCTCTTCCATGTTGTTCCCATCTTCCTCTTTTTAGCCCATAATGCTTGTTGAGACTATTCCTGCCTATAAAGCCCATCACAACTGGGCCTCTCACACAGCCTTAGCACAAAGAAGGTGCTGCCCATCCCAGTGTGGTCACCGATTCCAACGAGTCCAAGCTCCGGTTCCTCTGTGTGTCTTCCCAAACCCTGGGTAAATCTCTGCTTGGCCTTGTCAATAGAAAGGAAAGCACAAAAGCCAAGAAGCGTTTGGCAGCTGAAACCCTTCTCTTCGCTTTGTCTTTCTGCTGCTGACACATTAAAACTCAATTGCAAAATGGCTGCGTGCTCTTAAGATGTTTGCTGGTTCAGGGCCAAGAACATCCTTAAGCCCTTTGAAGATCTGCTGAGGCAAAGCTCAAAACCCAGAGGAAGGTGAGACCTGGAGAAAGGCATTTTCTTCCAAGAGGTGAAGTCTGAACTTCCCAAAGTCTCCATTTGTGGTTAAAGAGAAAGGTTCTTTGTCCACTTCAGGTTAAAGTTGGCTTCACGGAAGCCTTAGAACCAGTTCTCTTACAGAAAGAAGATCACCAAAGAGAAGTCATGTCTAAATCCATCTGCAGAACAGCACACTAAAGCTGTGCTGGAGCATGAGAGAACCGAGCAAGTGATGGCAAAGAGCACCCCAGTGATGGGGAGGTTTAAAATACTCCCGCACGCAGGTTTTACATGGAGCCTTTCTGCAATGGTTGGGAAGTGAGGAGGAGTGGGCAGCAGCTCCAGGGAGAAAACAGCTTTCTGAACAGCCTAAGAACATATGGAAGCACATTCCTGCAGCGGTAACATGACTGCCTCAGCCTCAAAAAAATCAGCAGTAGAGAGCGATGACTTTCTGATGACACCCTGAGCAAGTTACTTGAACAGAGCTATTTTCAACATTCCTCTTGCAGGGAATTCTGCCACTCTGGAGGCTGAAGGAGGAGAGACAGAATTGAGCAAAACAGCTCTCAAAAGGTGTAATTGCTAATAGAGAAATCGCACTATTTAGTATTTCTTTTCCCACCCCTCAAAAGGGGATCGATTTCTTCTTCACCTCCATTCTTTATGGAGGAAAGAACCTGCCACGTTTTGCTCTTGTTTTAACCTCTCGTTTCAACGTAGGAAACAAAAAAAAACCTTGACATTTATTTCAATGTATCAACTAAACCATTCCTGAAAGATGGATTTGTAAAAATAGACATTGTTCTAAGTGCAATGTGGAGAAGCTGATCTGGGTTTCAGTGCCAACGACGGCACAATCTGCCTCTGGAAAGGGATTCATGCTGCCTCCGAGGCGGAAATGATTCTCCTCCCTTCCACTCATCACCAGTGGGCTGCAGCTATTTAGGTGACTGCAGCAGAGCCTCTCGCCTCCTGCTCCGAGCCACGCTCGTGTATCCCGAGCCCAGCAGGAAGCGCAATGTGCTACGGCAGCACCTGGGGCTGGGTGCAAGCACCACTGGTCTCCTGCCTCCATCCCACCTTGCTTCCATCTGACGCCCAGAAAGGGCTGGAGAAGACGACTGACAGGGATTACGCTCTCCTCCCTGTTCCTAGGACAGCTAGGAAGGGCATGCTTGCTTTTCCTGCTCCTTTTAAGCCTACCAGAGGGATGGAGCGGAAGGAAAAATGGCATTAAACATGGAAAACCTGGGAAAAGCTTTTGGAAATAAGGATAAAAGGCTCGGTTTTGAGATGGTCCCAAATCTTGCCTCTGTTTCAATGACTTCACTGCTCTGCCAAGCCCGCGACCTTGTAGGGCCATTCCCTTGCCCTGCAGAAGCACATGTAAGAGCCAGACGTGCCTCTCCCAAGCTGGTGTCTCACATCCCTGTGATTCTCCCAGGTCCACGGCGCCAAGGTGACATTCCGGACCCGAGGGCCCGTTTCCAAACCCTGCATGTGACTTGACGAAGTTGCAAGTCACTCCATTGGCACAAAGGCACTAGAAGGATCCTCAGGTGCTCATCTGCAAGCTATAGGTGACCTCAGATGCTCACAGAGGTACAGCCAGTCCCCTGTAACTGCAGGGTTCATTTTACCACTGAACTCAGTGGGCTTCTGTATGATCCCAACTCCCAGAAAGCTCAGGGACCTCCTAAATGGAGCCACTGCAGAAGCATTAACACCTTTACCCAGCTCTAGATGAGATTCTCACTGGGTGAAATGGAAGTTACTTGAGGACCATGATGTGGCAGAAGCACAGTCAATGGGAAAGAAGAAGGTGTTCAGTAGGAGTGACAACCTCGGCCATAAATGGAAGAGAAGGAAAGAGAGGTCGAAAAGATGGAAAAACTGTAGGAAATAGAAGTACTACTCATGGGCCAGTATAGCCCAGCTCCTACCTCTTGCTTAAGCAACCGCTGCAGACTAGACTGAGGCAAGCATCTGCTTTGCCTTCATTGCTACGGATGCTCCCACATCCAAGGCAGCCTGAGTTTTGCTTGCACATGTTACCAGGGAAGTTCATGTACCTTTTGGGCTGGTTTCCACAAGCATCATGGGCTTCTGTGATGTGCTTCAGGCCAGGAACTGGACTTACTATTTGCAAACCAAAGAATCATGAACATGTTCTCTCTGATACTTCCACAAAGACAAAAAGGAGCTGAATTACCCCCAAAACCTGCTACCTGTGAGCAAAGGGACTCTCCTGATACTCCTACGAGTCATCACTCCCACTTTGCTAAATGAAACAGCAGGGAAAAGGGAAGCAGCTCAGACAAAAGCCTTGCAGGGCTGGGCTCCGGAGCTGGGAATTCTGAGTCCCTGCACCATGGTTGTGTTTCTAGGTCACGCTGTTTCTCCTTTCAATATCAGTTAACAGGCCACTGGAATGTTCAGCTTCTCCGTGAGGATGCAGTTTCAGTTCCCGTGGCTAACCCAAGATCACTGTGTCCTCCTGCAAGGCAGAGCCAGCAGCTGATCTGTTCCTCTGTGTGCTGCACATCTCGCTTTAAAGGAAAAGACCTCTGATGCAAAGCCTTCTGGAGAGGAAAACCAAAAAAACTCTTGGAAAACTTCCCATGATCCGAGCAGCTTCGCAATTCCTGATGATTCAGAAGGGCCTTTTTTAATGGCCTTAAAAAAAATGCCTTGTGGGAAGTCACTATTTGAAGCAGCAAAGCAGCAGCGCAGCCCAAAGCTATCCCCACACTGAAGTGGATGCAAAAGGAACTGAGCCAGTTCTAGTGTTTATGGGAAGAGCAAAGCTCTTTGCACTTTGTCTCCCATCTCCAGAACATTCCTCTCCATCTGCAGCAGCTCCAGCTCCACACACAGGCACAATGGAGCAAGAGAGACTCGGGGACTGGGAATGTAACTTGGTTTTCCCTAAAAACTAAGGATTTCTTCCTAGCATTGTGCTGGGAGAAAGCGTGAGTACCGCCAGGGCTCCTCCCTCGCCTCCTACTTGTGGTGGAACACCAAGACACCCAAGAAGCCTTCACCCAGTGCCCACAGCCCCGTCAGCACTCCCCTACTATAGGTCAATTCTCCCACAGATGTTGTGTCCATTCAAGTACATGGATACCAACCACTCCTGCTTGGATCTGCAGCAGCATCCTCTAACACTGGCTTTGGGTGGGTGCAAGTGGCCACATGCAACCAAAGGCATCCTGAGAACTACACGTCTCTCTCACAACCTGCCCACCCCAAACTCAGGCAACACCATTCTGAGGGATAACCTGAGCTACATCCACCTCAAAACCAGCTCACAGACAGTTCAACCTGTTTCAAAGCCCTGTTGAATTGGCACCTGCCTTCCCAGCACAACAAATAAGCATTGAATCCACTGGTGTAAATGTGGAGAAGAATGAGCAGTTACACCCAACATCAGCAGCAAATCCAGTTGATTTCATGTGACAGAACCACCCCTGAGTGTGGCAGAGACAACGCAAAGTCTTGCTACCCATGAGAGCTCAGGTTTGGACTGGTCACATCACGACAGTGGTCACATCCAGGCTCTCCAGTGGCACAGCTAATCCTGAGTTATAGGGGGTAACTATCTCTGATGAGTCAAATTGAATCTCTATCAAAGAAAGCAAGGGCATTAAACAGTAGAAAAGAGCCTCAGTTTTAAGCCCTTTGGCCTTCTAAGAAAACCAGTGACAGTGCTCTTCCTTCTTTCCCCATAGAAGATCCCCCCTCTCCATTTCCAGCACGGGGTTTGCTTACTCACCCCTTTCCTCACAATGCCACTTCATTCCTTACTGCATCCCGGCACCCCTAAATGCCTCCTGCCACATCACCTTAGTGCCACAGACAGTAAATATGTTTGAAACCAAAATGATGTCGATGAAAGGCAGTTAATCTCATTGGGGTTTTAGTCCTCATCGCTTCATAACCATCAAATTCCATGCTAGTAAATCAAATACGCACTTCAAACCGTTACCCCTCAATGAAAGTCTTCTTGCCCTTACGGTTAACACTGGCACCTCAGCATGACTTCAGCCATATTTAGCTGCCAGCCCTTGTTCTCCCAACTCCATCCAAGCAGGAGCGTGACACCTCTGTTAAACCCCAAAGAAAAACACATAACACAACAAGCCCCATCCATAGACTCCGCTCGTTGTCTTCTACTTAAACCATACCCAAACCTGTCATTCCCTAAAGCAAAAGGCAGTTTAGCGCCTTCCTTCTTGCCGACTCACTTTCTGGGTCATATAATAAGGGTCAAAGTCCTCCAGGGGTACAGCAACCAGGCCTTTTGGGATGTCCCCGTAGATGAAAGGCAAGTTCTTCCCCGCCTCGAGGTCACTGTTGGGTTTTGGTTTGCTGTCTTCATCGTCATCCCGGTGGCTGCTGTCCTGCTTGGAGCGCTGCTTCTTCTTCAGCTCGGCGATGTGCTTCTCGATGTTGGCCAGAGACTCCGGCGTGAAGGGTTTGAAGCTCTCAGGGCCTGGTGGTGCGAGCAGCCGCGCTGCCATCTTTTCATCCTGCAGCAGCTTCTTTTGCTCTGTTGCACCCGGACAGGTCAGCTCTGCAGGGGAGCAAAGAGCACACGTACAACAAGGTCAGGCACGGCAAGAACACGGAGCAGCTCTGGGCTTCCAGCCCTCACCCCATGGACCAAGTGATGGACACTGGGAGAACCTGCCATCGCTGCCCTCCCCTGCCCGTCGCTGCATCTGGATGTACAACACAAGCAGAGCATCGCACAGCCCTGGATCTCCAGCCCACTTTGGGTATCTCCTGAACACGAACTCTGTTCTATTCCCTACCCCACTTCAGACATAGTGGGATACGTCCCACTCTTCCCGGGCCATGGCAGGGGGTTGGAACTGGATGATCTTAAGATCCCGCCCAACCCAAACCAGTCTATGGTTCTACAGAAACTATTCTGCAAAGCAACGGTACCAAACCCAGGGTTTTGTAGCCAACGTGCATGGAATATGCTGAGCTCCTTCATGTCCTATCAGATATTATTCAGTTAAGGAGAAGTTGCCTTTATGACTTCAGCATTGGAATGGGAAGAAGTTCTTCCCTGTGAGGGTCGTGGGAGACTGGCACAGGATGTGGCTGCCCCATCCCTGGCAGTGTTCAAGGCCAGGTTGGACAGAGGGGCTTGGAACAACCTGCTCCAGTGGAAGGTGTCCCTGCCCATGGAACTGGATGAGCTTTAAGCTCCCTTCATCCCAACCCATTCCATGGTCCTACGAGCATGGCAGGGAGTGCTCTAGGTAGGACCAAGACGTCAGTGGGTTCACCTCTTCCTCCCCTGAGCACACCACGTCTCAGTTATGGGAAGTCAAATCTCACCCTTTCATTCATATATATATCATATATAAACGGTTTCTATTCATTTCAAGCCCTAAGAATGAAATCATTTGACAAGACTTCCATCAATAGTCATTCCTGACACTTAGATTCCTCCAATATGCAGGTTGGACACAGAGTCTTTGCATCAGATGCAACATGATAGAGCACTTCTCCATGATGACAAGGGAAGAGCTTCCAACCTGCAAAGGGTTTGACACTACCAAGAGCACTTTGCTCCCTTCAGCAAGCAAGAATATGCTGCATTCCTGAGCCACGGGGACCTCTTTTCCCACTCCAGGAGCAGGCCAAGAGAGGAGAGGAATGACAGAAGCCCTGCACTGATGCAACAGCACTGCAGTGCTGCAGGCTGGAATACAACCCAGCCCTGACACGGCTTTGGCACTCCAGGGAGGAACTCAAACACCAAAGTGGCAACGGATTCAAGCAGGAAGGCAGGACAGCTGGGAGGGGACGGTGTGGAAAGGGTCCAAAAGCTCCCTGGGACAAGGCCCCTTAAGTAAGGGATAAAGAGAGATCCTTTAAGGTAACACACACAGAGCATCGAAATAGCTATTCAAGATTTGTAATCTCTGAAAGAATCACTTCCAAATTCCTTAATAACTGTGATATGGGACCAAATGGTTAAAATCCCACTGTTTCAGCACTGAAGAGTGTTCTGTGTCCACATGGGAAGAGCTCACACAAGCCAGAGACATCATGGAAACACAGGCACGCTCCTGGCTGGAAGTCTGAGCTGGGACGTGCTTTATCCAGCCTCCGAACCCACGAGTCACAACTTCCTATGGATTGCAGCGAATAAACACAGCTTACAACGGAATACCTGGAGATCCCAGCCTTTAACATGGAATCTGGGGTACTTCCGAAGCCACAACATCTAGCGCAAAGTATCCTTCCAAGAAATAGTTGTTCCTGCTTCACTGCAGCTCGGATATTGCCATTTACACACTGGGAGGGCTCCCCTTCATCCTAAAGCGCTCCAACACCCGTGGAACTTCAACCACAAAACCTTAAGGATAGATCCTGTGTAAGTACACAGCTTAGATTCTATCCACAGGAACTTGACCAGGTATTTCTGGAGTAGGAACAAGAAAGACTCAAAAAGGATGGCACGAAGGGGAGAGAAAAGCCAGTCTCTTGGTCACATTATCTCTGGAATCATCACGGAATAACCAGCTGATATTAAGGAAAATTAATTTCTTCTATTCTTGCAGCATTTGCATGCATTTAATTACCAAATTTCCCACATCCTGTGGAACTACAGAGCAGCTTTGGGGATGTGGTCTAATTGAATGGCACAGATAAATATGTAAGGCCTGAATTTAGAAACCAAAGTAGCTCAGGGACACAGCATCAGAAAAAGGGGGGAAAATGAAGGCAGGAATGATATGCCTGATCTCTGTGTCCAATTACACAACCAGCAATGGGAAGCCACCACCTAATGTGCTAAGTGGCCATTTAATGAACCAACCCAAAGCCAACAAGCATCCCCCTGGTACCCAGCTGCACAGCAGGGTGGCTTTGCACAGGTCCTGTGCATCCATCCATTAGGAGATGCTGTGATTTATCCTGATGGACCAGCTCTGCCTCATGCTCCTCATCCTCCTTGTGTTCACACGTGGTGCAGACTCTGCTGCTGAAGTGATAACCAGCAACTGCTTTCGTATCTCCTCGTAGGGCTGCTACTTGCTCAACAGCAATAGGTAATAGTGACCTGAGGCTTTCAGTTCCTGCCTGTCCCGATTTCCTTTGGAAGTTCTCCCACGTTAAGATAACATTAAGGATGGGAATGAAATATTGAATTCAACACCATAAAGGGGCCTACAGGAAACCTGGAGAGGGGCTTTGGACAAGGAACAGAGGGACAGCACAAGGGGAATGGCTTCAACCTGCCAGAGGGGAGATTGAGATGGGATCTTAGGCAGAAGCTCTTCCCTGGGAGGGTGGTGGGACACTGGGATGGGTTGAAGGGAGAAGCTGTGGCTGCCCCATCCCTGGCAGTGCTCAAGGCCAGGTTGGGGCAACTTGCTCTAGTGGAAGGTGTCCCTGCCCAGGGCAGGGGGTTGGAGCTGGAGGAGCTTTAAGGTCCTTTCCAACCCAAACCAGGCTACTTGAAAGAGCTTGACTAGAATTAGTCCTTCTGCACATGTTGGCTGAATGAACAAGTATTGAGCTACCTTCCTCCTGTGGATCTCAGGTTCTATAAGGGCTGCATGGCTCATCCTCATCGATAGACAATTCCACGCGGCACATGTGGCCTCCTGCAGCCCATGGGCTGTTCAGCACATCAAGCTTCTTTAAACTAGAAAACCAGTCAGCTTTATTCTGTCACTGAGGATGGGATATACAAAACTTGGGAAGAATAAAGGTTGGAATTTACTTTGGCACTTTCCCCATGGGAATCTTCAACCTCTAAGGACAAAAAGGTTTGGAAAACTAAGACAAAGACTCACCATCAGGTAGAGCCGAAGCAGCGGTTTTGTGCTGGAGTGATGGATAACTGCACCTCCATCCCTCCAACTGCATCTCCATCCATTCGGATGGAGAACTGTGTGACTCCGCGTCAGGAATTCATCCTGGGAACGTGCAGCTCAGTGTCCGGCTCCCTGGGGCCAGCCTGCACATTGACACTGACGTTTCCCACGGATTTTACACCAGAAAAGAAGATGCTGCATTGAGGTGCCCAATTGCTAAGACTTAATTATTTCTCCTAACAGTTCCCAGCAGCCCATTTAGTACATTCTGAGATATTCTGATCAATTATTCAAGCTGATTGTCCCAATAAATTAAAACCACGTTTCTGAGGCAGTATCTCTGCTTTAAGACATTCCTCCTTTCATTCACTTGCAAGATTCAGTCACTCTCAGCACGTCTTTGAGAGAGAACCCTTCTAGATGCAGCTTTATATAACCCACCCAGACACACATGGCCCTGATTAGAACATGCAGGGCTGGGGCAGGAAGGAAATGACAGCGTGGATGAGCAGCCCTTTGAAATCCTCCTGCCTTCAATCCAAACCAAATGGTCCATGGATGAGGAATCCTTCAGGAGAACTCACCCATCTCCTCCTGTGTGCCTGCAACAGGCCAGTTTTAGCAATGAAAAGGGAGCCTTTCCCTTAGGAAAGCTCTTGTGCCACATTATTCCTGCTAACCCAAATCTAACTCCTTGTTCCATTCATTCAGACCCACAGGATAGGGGTAAGGTACCTTATTCTAGACAATCCTCGTGGAGCACTCAAATGGTAGGACCACAAATGGTTCAAATAGGGACAAACATGAAGGGGAGGTAAAGAAACCCCCCTCGTGGAGCAGGCATTACCATCCTGCTCCTGATTTCACTGGACGGGTTCAGCTCCTGCTGGAAACACGATTGGAACAGCAGCACTGGATGTTCCACCTCATGTTTCCAGGCTACTTTCCCACGTAGGTGAAATAGGTCTCATACTGGATCACTTCAATCACATGAAATCACTCAGGTTGATCACAACTGGCCTAAGGATCAAGCATCCAGCTCTGCAACTTCCAAAGGATAACACCAGGCTCCTTCAGGTAAGACTTTCAAGTATCCTCCCTCATACCCAATGCCAGAAATAGCCTCTCAATGGCCAAAAAGAGCTAAATATTGCTGAGTTTGCCCCCCAAAGCTACAGGAGCTTCTGACCCCAAGCAAGCACCACCTCCGAGCCATGCAGAAGGGTTTCAAAGCATGACCAAAGAGACATTCATCAATAATGATGATATTTGGGTTTAAAGTTCATATGGGGAGCTCTAGAAGTGATAGTCTGCAGGTGGAGAGGGACAGGAGGGGGGTTTTAGCCATCTTCACTGTGTTCTGTTCCAGTCCAAGGCTGCTTCTACTCAAAGCAGCCCGTGTGCTGATGCGCTCCATTAGCAGGAATAGCACTTTGGTATAGGACAAGGGGGAGGGAAGAGAAGGCAGAAGTTACTCCAACTTTACGACAGTATTGACACTCCTTCCCAAGACCGAAGTGTTAAAAGCCAGTCTGAAGCTGAGCTAATGCCAAGGAGGGGTTTTAATGCACTTCACCAGCAGCAAACCACCACTCGCACTCTCCAGCTACACCTGAGTGCAATAACAGGGCATAAGGGGGAAGTCCCACGCACTGATTTACTTCTGAATGCCGCTGGATTCAGACGCCCAGCGATGCCCAGCTCTCTGCCCTCCTACCACCAG